GTCTTTTTAATTAAAAAAAAAAAAAAAAAAAAAAGAGAGCTGCATCCTTTCTCAAAACTTTTAAGTTACAGATTTCTCCTTAATATAGAAGTGTAACTATGAGAATTTTAATGTTGCTGTGAAGTGCCTCCTCTTTGGTACAGGACAACCAATTTCAGCTGCAGTTCAGAAACTACTGTCTGCTTTTTTCTTTTTTTTCCCTTTTTTGTTGGGGGAAGAGAGGATCTATCTTCCTCTGCTCACCCTTACAGTGAATATAACAACTAGATAAACATTACTGCCTATTTGTGTGTGGCATAACTGCAAATGCAAATTATAATCCAGCCTGTTTAATTCCTGACACACCACAAAGTCACTCTGGCTCGCTGAAGGTATATCCTTCTGGAAGTACTCTGAACAGTTACCCAGCAGACCATATTTTCATATAGAGTCAACTCTTGCTACAAATGGGCAACGAATTACTCTGAGGAAATTCATTTACTGTCAGATGTCCGAGTTTCAAATCAGCAGCTGCAGAGAAGATGCTCTATTGCCTTTACAAAGAAAAAACTCCCAGAAGAACCACAGTCATTACACACTAGATACGCACAGTTCTCCAAAGACGTGTCACCTTCTTATAAAAGTCCAGTAGTGCACAAAAAAAAAGAGAAATGCCTTTTCTGTCATTAAATTGCTCCAAAATGATGCAAAGGAGAGATTCAGGGACTAAACATTTCTTTTTAATCCATGGCTGGTCAAACGTAATTTCACATTTGAAGACAAGAACACATAATTATTCTCCAAATGGAAGAGAATGCAACACAACTATTCCCACCCTGCATGTCAGTGCAACAAGGACAGGAGCTCCCACAGAATGGAAAAAGCTTCACACATGCTTTCTCAGACAGACATACCAGTTTAAACTACCCCCACTCTGGCCAGGTGTGAGGCCCAACAGACTACACAGAAGGCATCTGAGAAACTTCAGTTTGATTCTTCGTTATGTCACTTTTGCCCTCTTGAGCTGCCTTACAAGCTCCATCATTGAAATCTGATGGGGAATACCTTTTGTTTAGACTAACTCTGTCTTTGATCTAGAGCATCCTTTTCTTCAGTCTCTACATCAGAGAGCCCAGATGTGTCTGCTTCAGCAAATGTCCCAAGAGCTACTAGTCATGGTCAGGCTGCAGACAAAACATAAAGCAGTCTTACTCTTTGACAAAGTATCTCACAAGCAAAGAGCTGCAAAACAAACCCTAGATCAAAATTCCACTACCCCGGAATTTGAAACCATGAATCAAAGCTTCGACTTAATTAAGTCTGGTTCTCAGCCCCCTCTTGCCTTTGGGGTGAAAAGTAGGTCTTGTTCTTCCAAATCGTGAGACACTAAGTGCAAAACAACAACAATTTATTGGTTTGGATGCACTCCCGAAGAAATGTGTCTGAATGGGGACATGCAAGAAAAACAGACAACTTCAGACTGATTCCTCTGGATCTCCAACCATCTATCTCCAGGAATCTCAACCCAAGCTTTGCTGTAACATTGCTACACTGGATAGAACACTGGGTTTTGGACATAATGGTATTGGCAAGCAAGAAGTAATGGAAAGAAGTAATGGAAGTATCATCTGTAAAACTTCAGAAATTATTTAAAACAAGGTGGCAAAACCACTAAGTTTATCACACCATAGCAACAGAAGAATTTGGCTACAAGGAACTACAGAACTACAGATCGAGGATGGCCAAGTGGCAGCCTACAGCCTGGATTCAACCCAGAAACAACTGGAAGAAAGCTGCACTTTCAAATTGTACTCAGGTGCATTTTCAATTTGCATGGTTATCAAGGTAACTGCTTACATGGATAGCAGATTAACACTGCCTTAGAAGTAGAGGCCCGGAACTGGTTTCATGCTAGACTAGCCTCCAACGCCAGCTCAGCAGCACCTCCACAGGCTGCCTCCATGCACCATCACTGCACCACGTATTCCTGCACTCACTACAAGTCTCACAGGTCAGTAACTCAAGCTCCAGACATTCTCACCATGCTGACACTGAGCTGATATGTTTTTTCTTGAGCTGAAGAACCAAGAAAAGCAGTATAAAGAAGTCAGCTTGAGTACACCCATATGTAACCCAGTTTAGGCCCT